ACTTGTTCACAAATGTAAACATTCTGTTTATTTCTTGAGTTCCGCCTTCACACGCAAGCCAGGGGGTACTCACCTTACCTATTTACCTATTTGAGTCCGCAGGATTGAGCATTAGCTCACGGGAGACATCTCCCGTCACGCAGGGTGCAGTCGCACCTCCACAGATCTCCAGTATCAGCTAATGATACTGGTAATGTCTCAAAAGGGCCACTACTTACGGGCTATTCATGCTCGTGCCACCTTTTGGGTGGCTTAATCTTTATCAATCTTTATCAGTATTAGCTCATGGGAGACATCTCCCGTCACGCAGGGTACAGTCGCACCTCCACAGATCTCCAGTTTCATCTATTGATACTGGTAATGGCTCAAAAGGGCCACCACTTACGGGCTATTCATGCCCGTGCCACCTTTTGGATGGCTTAATCTTCATCAATCAATCAATCAACATTAGCTCTTGGACCCCGCCTTACTAGCAACTAGTTGTTTAAAGCAACGACTCCTGATCTATTTCCCAATCAAATCTCCTTTTAAATTTGTTAAATAGAGTTGACTTCTACAACCTGTTCCTTTAGTTAATTCCACTTTCCCACTACTTTTACGCTAAAAGAAAACTCGTGCCACTCCACCACCCACTCATTCAAGTCTTCTTGAGGTTATCTTGAGATGATTTCGGGGCTTTAGTGTCCCCGCGGCCCGGTCCTCGACCAGGCCTCCACCCCCAGGAAGCAGCCCGTGACAGCTGACTAACTCCCAGGTACCTATTTACTGCTAGGTAACAGGGGCATTTAGGGTGAAAGAAACTTGCCCATTTGTTTCTGCCTCGTGCGGGAATCGAACCCGCGCCACAGAATTACGAGTCCTGCGCGCTATCCACCAGGCTACGAGGACCCTAGTCTGAAGCGCCCATTCGTGCCCTCTTATATATAGGAGAGTATAGCATATAGTAGATTGATGATTGATGAAGATTAAGCCACCCAAAAGGTGGCACGGGCATGAATAGCCCGTAAGTGTAATGGCCCTTTTGAGCCATTACCAGTATCAAGAGCTGATACTAGAGATCTGTGGAGGTGCGACTGCACCCTGCGTGACGGGAGATGTCTCCCGTGCATATAGTAGATTGATTGATTGATAAAGATTAAGCCACCCAAGAGGTGGCACGGGCATGAATAGCCCGTAAGTGGTACATATAGTAGGTCTAAGAACGCGTTATATAACCGACCAGGAGAGGTATCCAGCAGCGCCCGGGTCTCTCTCTCCCCATTTTCCTCACTCCCAGTCACCACCTTCCATCCTAACATTTAACATGATGGAGGAACCTTTGTAATGATGGATTTGTTTACTCAGAGAAATTGGAAAATTTCTCGCCGGCGCCCGGGATCGAACCCGGGCCCACAAGATCACGCGTCCAGTGTTCTGTCCGCTCAGTCACCGGCTCCCTTTTAGGCGTAGAAGCCAATCGTTGCAGAAGTTGGTATGAGGAGAAACATAAGAGTCCGGAGTCATTGTATAGAGTCCACACAGTGACTCCCGACTCCCTGTAGTCTATAGTACTAATATAGACTACAGGCATAGTACAGACACAGTAGTACAGTCTATAGTACTACTATAGACTACAGGCCGGTGAGACCAGTATGAGCTAGCACTCGACCCTTGCCAGCACATTCAGACGAGTACATTCACTCGCTCACGAGTTGAAACACAACTTCACTTCCCCGGTTCTTGAAGCCACTACGGACCTCCTGACTGTATCTTCACCCACTTGATTCTGTCTTTCTCCTTCTCTCTCTCTTTTCCCAGCTGCCTTTATCACTTCTCCCTCTCTTTCTCTCTAAATTCCCCCATTAACTTCACCCTTAGCGTGTCTGCTCCTGGTCTCAGTATCCACGGCGTCCTTCATCAACTTCCTGACAGAAAACTCGCCCACAATTTGCCAGCGACATTCCTGTTCGTCTCCTCATTTGACCAGTCCCACATAATTAGACACAATCCATCATTAGCGCCAGCCCACTATCTGGCTACTGACGCCCACTATCTGGCTACCGACGCCCACTATCTGGCTACCGACGCCCACTATCTGGCTACCGACGCCCACTATCTGGCTACCGACGCCCACTATCTGGCTACCGACGCCCACTATCTGGCTACTGACGCCCACTATCTGGCTACTGACGCCCACTATCTGGCTACTGACGCCCACTATCTGGCTACCGACGCCCACTATCTGGCTACTGACGCCCACTATCTGGCTACCGACGCCCACTCTTGAGCCAGAGGGGCAGGCGAGGTACTGCAGGTCTTTGCCCAAGTGGTCCTTATCGACAGGTCTCTTCCCAAGTGGTTCTTTATCGTCAGGTCTCTTCCCAAGTGGTCCTCTATCGTCAGGTCTCTTCCCAAGTGGTCCTCTATCGCCAGGTCTCTTCCCAAGTGGTCCTCTATCGTCAGGTCTCTTTCCAAGTGGTCCTCTATCGTCAGGTCTCTTCCCAAGTGGTCCTTTATCGTCAAGGTCTCTTCCCAAGTGGCCCTCTATTGCCAGGTCTCTTCCCAAGTGGTCCTCTATCGTCAGGTCTCTGCCCAAGTGGTCCTCTATCGTCAGGTCTCTTCCCAAGTGGTCCTCTATCCCCAGGTCTCTTTTCAAGTGGTCCTTATCTCCAGGTCTCTTCCCAAGTGGTCCTCTATCGTCAGGTCTCTGTCCAAGTGGTCCTCTATCGTCAGGTCTCTTCCCAAGTGGTCCTCTATCCCCAGGTCTCTTTTCAAGTGGTCCTTATCTCCAGGTCTCTTCCCAAGTGGTCCTCTATCGTCAGGTCTCTTCCCAAGTGGTCCTCTATCGTCAGGTCTCTTCCCAAGTGGTCCTCTATCGTCAGGTCTCTTCCCAAGTGGTCCTCTATCGTCAGGTCTCTTCCCAAGTGGTCCTCTATCGTCAGGTCTCTCCCCAAGTGGTCCTCTATCGTCAGGTCTCTCCCCAAGTGGTCCTTATCTCCAGGTCCTTATCTCCAAGTGGTCCTTATCTCCCAAGTGGTGGTCCAGCACCAGGCCAGCGGGATATACAGTCGCTAGTCACACAGTTCCTCGCTAATGTGGTGATCGGCCTGAGATTAACTATCAGCCTAATTAGCTTAAGGAATTTTTTGGTTGCAGTCTCTGGAGACTGATACTATTTATTTAGCTCGAAGGTTCGTGCAGAGGATGCTGTTTCATGTACGTACACGCGCGTGCATGCACGTACACACACACGCACACACACACACACATGGAGGCTGACTCCATACACAGTTTCAAGTGTAGATATGACAGAGCCCGATAGGCTCAGGAATCTGTACACCTGTTGATTGACGGTTGAGAGGCGGGACCAAAGAGCCAGAGCTCAACCTCCGCAAACACAACTAGGTGAGTACACACGATCACAACCTACAAACTCCTCAGAGGAATCGACCGGGTAAACAAGGATGAACTATTCAACACTGGAGGAACGCGAACAAGGGGACACAGGTGGAAGCTGAGTACCCAAATGAGCCACAGAGACGTTAGAAAGAACTTTTTCAGTGTCAGAGTAGTTAGTAAATGGAATGCATTAGGAAGTGATGTGGTGGAGGGTGACTCCATACACAGTTTCAAATGTAGATATGATAGAGCCCAGTAGGCTCAGGAACCTGTACACCAGTTGATTGACAGTTGAGAGGCGGGACCAAAGAGCCAGAGCTCAACCCCCGCAAGCACAACTAAGTCAGTACAACTAGGTGAGTGCATACACACATCTACAGGGGCCGTGGCTAAATTGACAGCGCTTGGGACTCGTAATCCCAGGGTCCGGGTTCGATCCCGGCAGGTGGAAACGGATTTGCAGAGTTTCTTTCACCCTGATGGCCTCTGTTACCTAGCAGTAAATAGGTACCTGGGAGTTAGACAGCTGTCGCAGGCTGCTTCCTGGGTGTGTGTGTGTGGAAAAAAAAATAAAAATTAGTAGTTAGTAACAGTTGATTGATTGACAGTTGAGAGGCGGGACCAAAGGGCCAAAGCTCAACCCCCGCAATCACAACTAGGTGAGTACAACTAGGTGAGGACACATAGGCGAGGACACGTACGCAAGCTTACCAAGAAAAGTTGAGTCGACAATTTTCCTAGCACCCGATAGTAAGTGTTTCACGAAGTGCTCCAAGAGGTCGTAAAGATGAGAGCGGACTCCTCGAGTGTGAGCACACCTTCAGAGTCCACAGAAAAGGCCAAAGACTTGTTAGGGACTTGACGAAACAAGAGAAATTTGGAGGGTAGAAATAGCCTAAGCTACTTTATCCCTTTGAGATATATTTCTGTCTTGTCTCAATAAACTTGAACTTGGACTTGAAACAAGAGAAATTGGTGTTCAACCAAAATTTGGTGCCTGTTAGTTGAACATCTTAAGTTATCAAGTGTTATATAATCATTCTGCGTTATCACTTCCTCCTGATAATCATTCTCACCTTCTTTGTATTCCATTGAATGTTTTTATTCATAGGTAACGTCTCGGTGATAAAGCATTGAGTCTCTCACGTGTCTAGAAGCCGCCGGATGCGGGCTGAGTATCGGCTGGTGGGCGTGACTGGGAATATTTCATGATCATGTTTACAAATTCATTCTCATTTTCCTCATCTCCTGTTCCCCGGAACTTGAGCCAACGCTTCCTGGGGCCAGCACTACAGCCCATGACACACACCATGCTTAAGAACAACATTTGTCTAATTAAGAAAAGGCCGTCTTCCGGTGGTATCTTGTCCCCCATGAATATTAAATTCGCACGAATGTTATTGCAATCTGTAGATGAGGAGTCACAATAACGTGGCTGAAATATGTTGACCAGACCACACACTAGAAGGTGAAGGGACGACGACGACGTTTCCGTCCGTCCTGGACCATTCTCAAGTCGCTAGTGTGCAATAGGAACGTCGTCCCTTCACTTTCTTGTGTGTTTTCTGCTCGACGTTATTACAATCTAAATGTTCACAAAATTGTTTGTTTTCATCTTACAGAGAACGAGGAGACCAGAGCTGCGTAGCCTCCAGGAGGGTGAGTGTTGGATATGTTATATGTTGGTATAGTGAGTATACGTGGTATAGTGAGTATACGATTGATTGATGAAGATTAAGCCACCACCAAAGGCAGCACGGGACTGAATAGCCCCTAAGTGGTAGATTTTTTGGAGTGAATGTGATCTTTGGTCGTGAATAGTGAGAACTGAAGGTGATGCTTTATATACGAGGTTTGTGCTGATAGCTGTGTGTTGTGAATGTATGATAGTGATGATTAGTGATAAGGGGTTGTGAATTACTGTTCTGCACTCATATCCTGATGATGAACTATGCTGGTTGATGTGTTCAGGATGAGTTGTTTTACAACTGATGAGTCGTCTTGTTGATGTTATATTTTTGGTGTATTGTATTGTGGGTATTTGTGCCCAACTGGCTACTGTATATGTTGTATAGGTGATCTGTGGTGGTGGTGAACGTTCATGGTGGCTTGTTCACATGGTGTTCACCTTTGTACCGTTGTTGTTCACCTGTGTACCGTTCGTTGTGTTGGTGGTGTTCCCAAGTGTACCATTGTCGTGTGGACGAACACTGGTTTACTTCACTCATTAATTCGTAAAATTTATGAATGTAAAGTTCTTTATAAAATGTTAATATGAACTGATTTGTCAAAACATTTATATTTTATGATGAACAAATCTTTTTGTTAAAGTTACAAGTCTTCACTTCGTCTTAAATATAGTAAATGTCCGAGTAAATGTCCGAGTAAATGTCCGAGTAAATGTCCGCGTAAATGTCCGAGTAAATGTCCAAGTAAATGTCCGAGTAAATTAGCTGACTCTTATAAGTCATCTATCCAGTAAAAAGTGGTCCTCTTTGGGGTGATTTATCCAGCAGATATAACTTAGGAAGAGGCCACTATGTAAATTGTAAATAGGCGCTATATAACCGCATTTACCGTATTATATGGTATTTTATTGTAGCTGATCATTCATCAACCAGGACTGGTGATTGATTGATGAAGAGTAAACCACCCAAGAGGTGGCACGGGCATGAATAGCCCGTAATAGTGACTCATTCTAGCCTTTTAGATGAAGATAGGACATCCTTTAGTTGAAGATGAAGAAGGTGAAGAGGGTGAAGAGGGGGAAGATGAGGGGTAGGGGGGGGAGAACTAAGGGAACTATCAGAGATAAAGTGCCAAGCCATGACGACTATGTAGCACTGGGAAGGGATCAGGATAAGGATTTGGGATGGGACGGGGGAAAGGAATGGTACCCAACCACTTGGACGGTCGAGGGGGATTGAACGCCGACCTGCATGAAGCTAGACCATCGCTCTACCGTCCAGCCCAAGTGGCTGGTAGAGGAACGAGAGCAGGAGGAGTCAGTCTTTATATTAACAAATATTTCCTGAAAATTATTCAGTTTGGCGTTTATTCTGAATATTAATATAACTCTTCATTATATAAGGCCGTTGTAGCCCATCATGTGCTTCAGGAGGCGGTCTATAAACCTGACATTTACTCGAGTGGTCGTTATAGCAAGAATTCAAATGAGCTCGTTATATGTCACTGAAGTTTAAATGTAGGTGGTCGCTTCAACTGGCATTTGCTTTAAATAGTCTGGTTCAATAAGCAGCCGCTAATAAAAGCTTTTGTTACTTATGGTCGTTATAAAAGGCAAGTGTTACGAAAGGTCGTTATATCTAACTAGTGCGTATTAAGCAGTCCCTCCTGGCCCATGAGCTAGATTCACGACGCAGTTACGCATGCACTTACGAACCTGTACATCTTTTCTCAAAATTTGGCGGCTTTGTTTACAATTATTAAACAGTTAATGAGCTCCGAAGCACCAGGAGGCTGTTTATAACAATAACAACAGTTGATTGGGAAGGTTTCATACTTGTAAACTGTTTTATAAATGTAACCAAAGCCGTCATAGATTGAGGAAAGATGGACACGTTCGTAAGTACTCGCTTAACTGCTTCGTGAATCTGGCCCCCATGGCCCGCTGTGTTTACGACGCAACCACCATTCATGGCCCTCACAGCAACCCGTCCTCGTAAACAATGACCATTCAGTAGTTGGGGACCATTCCTTTCCTCCTGTCCCATCCCAAAGCCTTATCCTAACCCCTTCCAAGAGCTATATAGTCACAATGACTTGGCGCGCTCTCCTAATAGTTTGAACTCTCCTTTTCGCTCTCCTTTTGAACTTCGCGTTCTCCTTTTGAACTTCGCGTTCTCCTTTTGAACTTCCCGTTCTCCTTTTGAACTTCCCGTTCTCACAAAAAGAACAATGTAACTTTAGGGCTCACCAGCAATCTGTTCACACGCCCTGATCGCTGGCTAAGATGACCCCCGAGGCGACTTAGACGAGCTGCTCACGACCGCACTCCTTAAGTCCTGCAACAGCTTAGCTTATCACTGCAACATAAGCCAAGCAGGCAGTATGGTCAGCCCACATAGAGCGTCTGATGGCTGAGTGGACAGCACGCTGGATACGTAGTCCTATGGACATGGGATTCGATCCCCGGCTATCGCGGAAACAAATGGGCAGAGGTTCTTTCATTACTTACCAAGTGTCTACAGTCATTAGGCATCACCATTAAAAAAATAGGAATAATAGAGGTCACTTGAAATTCACATCACAAAATCACAACAAGAAGGACTTAACAGCTCTATCCAAGTGTAACAAGCGAACCTGGAACAAGCAGAGTATATCACTGCCTGCCAAGCAGAGCATATCACTGCCTGCCAAGCTGAGCATATCACTGCCTGCCAAGCTGAGTATATCACTCCCTGCCAAGCAGAGTATATCACTGCCTGCCAAGCTGAGCATATCACTGCCTGCCAAGCTGAGCATATCACTGCCTGCCAAGCTGAGTATATCACTGCCTGCCAAGCTGAGCATATCACTGCCTGCCAAGCTGAGTATATCACTGCCTGCCAAGCTGAGTATATCACTGCCTGCCAAGCTGAGCATATCACTGCCTGCCAAGCTGAGCATATCACTGCCTGCCAAGCTGAGCATATCACTGCCTGCCAAGCTGAGTATATCACTGCCTGCCAAGCTGAGTATATCACTGCCTGCCAAGCTGAGTATATCACTGCCTGCCAAGCTGAGCATATCACTGCCTGCCAAGCTGAGCATATCACTGCCTGCCAAGCTGAGTATATCACTGCCTGCCAAGCTGAGCATATCACTGCCTGCCAAGCTGAGTATATCACTGCCTGCCAAGCAGAGTATATCACTGCCTGCCAAGCAGAGTATATCACTGCCTGCCAAGCAGAGCATATCACTGGCTGCCAAGCAGAGCATATCACTCCCTGCCAAGCAGAGCATATCACTGCCTGCCAAGCTGAGCATATCACTGCCTGCCAAGCAGAACATATCCCTGCCTGCCAAGCAGAGCATATCACTGCCTGCCAAGCAGAGCATATCACTGGCTGCCAAGCAGAGCATATCACTCCCTGCCAAGCAGAGCATATCACTGCCTGCCAAGCTGAGCATATCACTGCCTGCCAAGCAGAACATATCCCTGCCTGCCAAGCAGAGCATATCACTGCCTGCCAAGCAGAGTATATCACTGCCTGCCAAGCAGAACATATCACAGCCTGCCAAGCAGAGCATATCACTGCCTGCCAAGCAGAGCATATCACTGCCTGCCAAGCAGAGCATATCACAGCCTGCCAAGCAGAGCATATCACTGCCTGCCAAGCAGAGCATATCACTGGCTGCCAAGCAGAGCATATCCCTGCCTCAGCTTGACATGTAACACAGCAGTGGGACTCCCACCTCAACCCCCCCCCCCCCATCTCCATAAAACACAAGCTTAACCCTTGCAAGCGGCCGTAACACATCGGACTTGGCAGCTCCGAGCAGCACCTCGACACAATCTTCACTCAAGTCAGACAAAACACCTCACCTCCCCATGAGAGCCAAGGAAAAAAGCAGCCATGGAAAGGGGCGTGATCATGTTAAACGTGACAGCTTGGTGTGTGGGAGAGCATGGGAGGGGAAGAGCATGGGAGGGGAAGAGCATGGGAGGGGGGGAGCATGGGAGGGGGGGAGCATGGGAGGGGGGGAGCATGGGAGGGGGGGAGCATGGGAGGGGAAGAGCATGGGAGGGGGGAGCATGGGAGGGCAGAAAGGAAGGAAATTATCAGGGGGGGGAAAACGCCAAGCCATTAGAACTATTTAGCACTTGGAAGAGGTCAGGATAAGGATTTGGGATGGGACGGGGGGAAAGGAATGGTGCTCAATCACTTGTGGACGGTCGAGGGGATTGAACGCCGACCTGCATGAAGCGAGACTGTCGCTCTACCGTCCACCCCAAGTGAGGTACAGGGAGCGTGAATATAAATGTCCCAACACAGCAATATAATGCCCTGAGAGCTTTATAAGATGTTGGGGTGATGCTCACTAAGACATTAAATAATGTGCATGGGTAGGGCAGTCATGCAGGTCGGCGTTCAATCCCCGAGGGTCTATAAATGCTTGGGCACCATTCCTTTCCCTCCGTCCCATCCCATGTTATCCTGATCCCTTCCAAATCCTATATAGTCGTACTGGCTTGGCGTTTCCTCTTGATAATGCCTTATCTCATAATGAGGCTCTTTTTAAGCCTTTGCTACAGATCTCTGCGCATTTTAAAGAATGATGGATTCCATGCCACTGTTGCGCATTCTAGAACTGGTGATTGATTGATTGATAAAGATTAAGCCACCCAAGAGGTGGCACGGGCATGAATAGCCCGTAAGGTGTAGAACTGGTGGTAGATGGCGATCGTTTAGTGATGGGAAGTGAGATGTGGCCCACTTGGTGGGTGGGGGGGGGGGGAGGGGGTGGGCCACTTGGTGAATGGTAGATGGTGGCCCACTTGGTGGGGTGGGGAGGGCAGGTGGCCCACTTGGTGGGTGGAACAGGTGGGCCACTTGATGGGCGGTTAAAGGAAGGCGGTTGATAGTGGGTGGTAGCAGTGATGGGTGGTAGGTGGAACTTAAGGGTGGGTGGTAGGTGGAACTTAAGGGTGGGTG